TCCCTCTCTAGAATACCCTCCAGGAAGGCAAACGTATTTCTCTCTTTTCTCATAGATGGTGGTGTAGTGCCTAAGGTATTTGACTGCTAGCCAGAAGGCTGGCGGTTCAAACCCACCAGCCACGCCTGGGAAGGAACGTTGGGCAATCTACTTCCATAGTGATACTGCCTCGGAAATCCAAGGAGGGGTCACTACGAGTTGGATCCGACTCCACGGCAGTGCGTTTGGTTTTGGATGTCCAAAGGCCTAGAGCTGGTCAGACATATGGTGGATACTCAGAAATATGTGTTGAATAAACGAATGTATTTGGGGGAGACTGAGCTGAGCTGTGTAGTGGATTTATCCTCATCTTAGCTGAAAGACCCTGAAATTCCTGAGGGGACTTGAACCGTTTTCCTGAGCCACATGGACCCCATACGATGGAAGAGTTCAGACCAGGGCTATCCGACCAGTTTGATACTAAGTTACGATTTTGCCCAAACTGTGTGACCTTGAACAAGTCGCTTATGTTTCTTTTCCATGCCTTAGTTACTAGTGTCTATTTTACAAGGTTGATATAAAGTGATGTTTGTGACTCATTAATAGGTCACAGAGTCAATTTAACTAACTGTAAAAGGCACCAAAGACACACTGCTTTCTTGTTCATTTTGCCAAAGATAGGTAGCATAGTGGCTAAGACACTTGACTGCTAACCAGAAGGCTGGCGGTTCAAACCCACCAGCCACTCCTCGGAAGGAAGGTTGGGCAATCCTACTTCCGTAGTGATACTGCCTCGGAAACCCAAGGAGGGGTCGCTATGAGTCAGGGCTGACTCGACGGCACATAACAACAACACAACAACAAGGTCTTAACCATAGTTGTTCCCAGTTCTGGTAAGCTTCGGAGAGAATGCCAACTGCCTTGGGAGCACTGTCACAGCTACCAAAGAGTTAAGTTTCCTGTAGCCCTATTGTTGGGCAGGGCACAATCTGACAATCAGAGACCTTGGAAGAAAGGCCCATCAGGCCCAGAAACCTCTCCCCACAGGTGGCGGTGTTTTCTGATTGCAAAGGTATTTATCTCTTTGCTCACAGATGGTGACATAGTGTCTAAGGCATTTGACGGCTAACCAGAAGGCTAGCACAGTCATCAACTATATAAGGCCCCTCATTACACACCCGTCCCAGACCTTCTCTGGGCTCTACCTCTGCAGGGCAGTCTCCAGGCCAGAACTAGAAGGTAAGGGAAGTGGTGCCAGGCTGCAAAGCTGAACTTGAGCCCTGGGAGAAGGTGAAACAGGGAAAGGCCTTTAGGTCCAGCTCAATGGGGTTCCTGGGATTTTTTTTATGATTCTTCTTTCCTTTAAGGCAGCTCTGGTGGCATAGTGGATAAGGCACATGGCTGCTAACCAGAAGGTCAGCAGTTCAAACTCACCAGTCACTCTGCAGAAGGAAGATGGGGTGATCTACTTCCATAAAGATTTACAATTTTGGAAACCAAAGGGGGTTGGTATGAGTCGGAACTGACTGGACTGCAGTGAATTTTCTTTCCTTTGGCATTGTTCTCCAGTGCTGTATGCTCAAGGGAGGGAAGGCTGCAGAAATGGCCGGGCATATGCTTGCGAAATGGTTTGGTTGTGATTCTTCTGCCCTCTGTCTGTTGCACTGTGTCTTCACACTCTCTCTGTGCTTTGATTTCCTATGTGTAAGACAAGAGTGATTGTGGTAGGGCACTCTCAAACTACTGAAAAGATGAAATAAAGAATGAGTGGGAGGAACTTTGTAATGAGATGCACAAATAATATCTCATGTAATTGCCACATGGGGCCTATCTTACTTATCTAGTGCTAGTATAACAGAAATACCGCAAGTGGATGGCTTTAACAAACAAATCCACCCCCGCTGCCCCCAGGTTAGAAGACTAGAAATCCAAATTCAGGGTGCCAGCTGTAGGAGAAATCTTTCTCTCTCTGTTGGCCATGGAGAAGTTCCTTGTCTCTTCTGAGCTTCTGCTCCTGGGAAACTTCATGTGGTTTAGCCTCTCTCTTCCCCATCTCTGTTTCCTTCCTTGCTCGTTTAATGTCTTCTATCTAAAAAGAGATTGAATCAAGACTCACCCCACACGAATCCTGTCTAATTAGCATAACAAAAGGAAGTCATTCCCAAATGGGATTATAACTGCAGTCATACAGGTTAGGATTTACAATACATAATTTTTGGGGACACAATTCAATCCATAGCAAAGCTACTTTGCCCTTACTCCCAGCTTTGCCATTCTCCCTCCACAAAGGTAGTGTCTACAGAATGGTGAGCAAGGGCCCTGTACCCTGCTTCTGGGCCACCTCCAGTTTCTACCTCTCTGCTGTGTGTCCTTGGGCAAGTTCTTGACCTCTCTGAGACTTTGTTATTTCTTCTGAAAATCTGTTAATAATCAGATCTATTAATGTTGGCTGTTATGGTCTCTTTTCCTTTCTTTTTTCCTCCTTGTCCTCCTTTCTTCCCACAAATAAAGCTTGATAGGCCCTTTATCAGCAGGTCTGACCACTGAAACTTATTCCCTACTATGGAGAAGGCCACTCCTCGGAAGGAAGGTTGGGCAATCCTACTTCCGTAGTGATACTGCCTCGGAAACCCAAGGAGGGGTCGCTATGAGTCGGGGCCGACTCGACGGCAAATAACAACAACAACAACATGGAGAAGGACAGGTGTTCTGGGCCTGGAGGATGACAAGGTGTTTGGGGGATGCAGAGCTCAGAGTACAGCACACCTACTATAAACTCCAAATAGATGTATTTTATTTTTCTTTTTGGATTTCTAAATAGTAGGGCCATCTTGATAACAGATTGGCCCCGTGTCTCTTGATTGAACTGGTTTCTCTTCAGTTCTAAAGACATAGGATAAGCCAACCAGGGGCACAGTGCAGTGGTGTGTGTATAGTGTTGTATGATGTAGTGAGATGCGTTATGGTGGTGTGTGTAGTGTGGTGTGAGTTGTAGTGTGGTGAGCTGTGTTGTGGTGATGGTGTGTATGTGTGTGTGCTCAGCATGCTATGTGTGGTGTGGTGAGGTATGTGGGGTATATGTAGTGATGAGATGTGCTGTGGGGTGTGTGTGTGTGATGTGGTGTGTGTGGTATAGTGAGATGTGGTGTGGTGAGATGTACTGTGCTGATGATGTGTGTGCATTTTGTGTGTTGTATGGTGTGTGTGCTGTGGTGTCTATGTGTATGGTGTGTTATGCACATGTGTGATGTGTTATGGTATGAAGTGGTGAGGTGAGGAGAAAGGCTGCAGCTCTTAGGTGAATTCTGCCTTAATTAATGTGTGCAGTTATCATTATGCAACTTTAGAGCTGGAAGGACCTGGATTGGTATTCTAATTTTGGTCTTAAAAACTGTTGAGGTTGGGTAGCTTTCATTATCCCTCCAAGCTGAAGTTTTCTCACCTTCACAGAAGCACTGTCTAAAAGAATTTTCTACAATGATGAAAAGTTCCATATCTGTACTGGCCAATACAATAGCTAGTAGTCACATGTGGCTATTGAATATTTGGAATGTGGCCAGCATGACTGAGGAAAATAATTTTAAATTTCATTGAACTTCAATTAATTTAAACTTAAATAGCTACATGTTGCTGGTGGCTGGAAGATTTAAAGAGAGAATGATTAGGAGTGATTAGGAAGGACTTATTGAAGAGCCTGACATGTATCCTGCTTCGATACATGGGCAAGCTGAAATTCTAGGAGCTCTGATTTAGGGTCCTATAAATTATAACTAAACCTTATTGTTGTTTTGTTAGTTGCTATCAAATTGAGTCCAACTCATAGTGACCCTATGTGTGCAAAGTGGAACTGCTCCACAGGATTTTCAAGGTTGTAATCTTTATGGAAACAATTGCCAGGCCTGCCTCCTGAGGCACCTCTGGGTGGATTTGAACTGCCAATCTTTTGTCTAGTTGTCAAACATTTAACCATTTGTGCTGTTAAATCTTAGCAATCATCAAAGTTCTAACTTGGACAATTTTCAGACAAGGAATTTGTGGGGGTAGAGAGAGAAGTGGCCTCTGATTCAAGCACGGAGGACAAGCACATCACAGGTTCCAGGCCTCTGGGAGTCACCATCTGGAGGCAGCATGAACCCTTGCTCTAACACTTCCCAGTAGTGTGATCTTGATTTTGAGTGTGATACTTAACCTCTCTGTGTTCAATTTCTTCATCTAGGAAGTGAGGCTGATGCTTCATAGGGTTTGACGAATTACATAAATTAATCCACTTAAAGTGTTCAAGACAGAGTAAATGCTCTAGTAGAGTCAGCTTTTGTTCTTACTGATGGCAGTGAGAGATGAGGACACTCTTAAGCACATAATATGAATACAATGAGCTACAAACTAGAGGATGAGCATCTTGCTCTGGGAGAGGAGAGGAGGGGACAGAAGCCAAACTCATTCTTTCTTCTTGGATAACATCCCCGGAAAGGCTGGTGATGAGACAGCTAGCCACTTTTTGCAGGAAGTAGCTCCACAGAAAATGCCCCTGGGCTATGTTTCATATCTGTGTTTAGCCACTTTCGCAGGCATTTGGGATTAGGAAAACCTAGATGGTGGGAGAACAAGAGGGGGAATTGCTGGCTCAGTGGGAGACCTGGTTTCAATACCTGGCCAATGTCATTCATGAGCAGCCGCCACCTCTCAGTTAGTGGAGGCTTTCATGTTGCTATTATGCTGAACAGGTGTCAACAAAGCTTCCAGACCAAGATGGATTAGGATTAGGAAGAAAGACCTGGTGATCTACTTCCAAAAATCAATCAATGAAAACCTGTGGATCACAATGGTCTGATTTGCAACTGATCATGTGTTTCACAGCTAAGGATTCTGAACTTCTGTTGCAAGTGCTGACTGAGCACTGGGCTTGTCCCAGTGTGATTAAAACTCTTAGTGATGGCATTTCCCATGGGTTTCCTTCTTTGTGTTTCCTCAGGCTTGAGGCTTTGTGATCACCATCTTAGAAAGAAGCCATCTCCATCACTATGAAAGGAATCCTTGTTGCTGGTATCATCACTACGCTTACCATTGTGGCTGTAGGTGAGAGAAGCCACATGGTCCCATTTTAGACCCTTTATTCACCTTTCCCAAGACTTCTTGCCTCTCACATCTTATGATCAGTGAGAGCATGAGACCCCCTCCGTGTATACTACCCCTTAGAGGGGCCTCTCGGAGGGTCAAAGTGGAGTCTCTCTGTTGAGGAATGGTAGTATAGGAAGTGACAAGAAGGGTGGCAGAGGGCATAAACTAATGCTGGTGCTTTCATCTACAGTACCAAGTTTGGGAGCCCTCAGAGAGCAGGGACATCATCCCATCTATCTTTTTTACCCCTGAGTTGGGGTGCAACAACTTACCCAGAGAATGCTCTATAAATATCTAATGAATGTTATCTGAAGCCTGATGTTTTGTCTTCCTAGAATCTCAGAGCTGTGTGCAGTGCAATTCATTGACCAACTCTTGTAACAACAGTGCTGTCTCTTCATGTCCAAAGGATGCCAACTCCAGCTGTACCAGTTCTTTGGTGAACTCCACTCTAGGTTAGCCTGGGGTGCTCATTTCTCCTACCTTTGGGACTTGCATTGGGCAGGAGCTGGATTAGGTGGCTATGAAAGAAAGGAGGGTGGAGGTGGGCCAGGGATGTGCACACACAGAGAGAGGGGGATCATGAGGGTAGACTCACAGGAGAATCAGCACATAAATGAGACATGAAAATAGATATAGAACACAGGGACAGGGAACCTTGAAAGAAAACAAGCCCCCTGGCTTCTTGGAAATTGCTGTCCCAGATGGAAGCCTTATTCTAGATAGACATTACTGAGGATGAGAAGCAGGGCAGCTCTTAGTTAAATTACAAAGCAGGCAAGTTATTTTGGGTGTTTGCATCCCTCCATTTTCTGCCCCACTTTTCTCTCTTTGGTGTTCCTTTCTGTTCCAGATCAAACTTCTTTTCAGTTAAAACTCTCTCACAGGTACTTTTTGCTGCCATGATTGTAATCTCTCAAAGCACTCAGATGTCACCTTTTTACCATGTTCATTTTTAAAAACATGCAAACACAGAGAAAGAGTATAATTAATTGTCATGCAACCACTGTGTTAATAGCTATCGATATTTTGCTTTAATATTTAAAGCAGATCTAGATGCTACATCATTTTCCCATAAATGCCTCACTATTAATTTCTAACAAGGGCTTTCTCCTTTCCTTTTAAAATAACCACCATGTCTTTATCACACATGAAAATTAACTATAATTCTTTTTTTTTTTTTTAATTGTGATTTGGGAGAAGATTTACAGAGCAAATTCACTTTCCATACAGTAGTTCACATATACTTTGTCTCATGTCATTGACCACAGTTTACCACAATGCAACAGCTCCTCCCCATAGTTACCACTTCCCAGTGTCCATCCCTCCATACTCTCCTGCCCCCTGAGCTGTCTCCCTGTGCATAAGCAGCCCTTCCTTCTCCCATGATTGTTCTCTCCAGGGCGTGTGTCTACTTGAGGTAAATGTTTAACTCACATGCCTATACTTTGTTTGGCTGGAAACCACAGGTGTGGCTTCAATTCCAGACCTGAAGGGCAGCTAGAGGCCATAGTCTCAGTGGTTCCACCAGGCTCTATTGGACCAGCAAACCTGGTTCCAACCATTAACTATAATTCTTTAATTTCTTCTAATATCTAAATAATCTTAAAAATTTTCATTTGTCTCAAAGATGTTTTAACCATGATATGATAGAATTAGAATCCAAGATCTCCATGTTGAATCTCACTGTTCAATCTATTGTTTTATTTTGTAACACCTCCCATATGGTGTTTTTCTTTTTGTCCAATGTCATTTATTTGTTGGAGAAATTGGGCCATTTGTTTTGTACCTGCCCCATATACTGGCTTTGATTGCTTCAATATGGTGCCATTTAGCTTGCTCCTATTTTCCCGGTATTTCCCATAAGCCAGAAGTTAGGTCTAGGCCAGCATGTCTAGCAGAACTTTATTCAGTGATGGCAAGTCTATGCCAGAACTGTCCAATCGAGTAGCCACTAGCCACTTTGGCTATTGAGCAATTAAATTATGGCTAGCATGACTGAGGACCTGAATTTTAAATGTTATTTAATTTTAATTTGTTTAGATTTAAATTTAAACAGCTACACATAGCTAGTGGACAGCACTGATCTAGAGGCTTGACTAGACTCCGTTTGAATTTTTTAGGTAGGGATATGCCACAGGTGGTGCTCTGGATATCATATGATAAAAATGGCTCATCAGATTGGGTTAACTGTTTTTGGTGATGCTGAGACTGATGAATGAGTTCAGGGAGTTGAGTCACTTTGACCCATCAATTATCAGCCTCCCCATCAACATTTAAGCTAGAATTTAGCATGCATATCTGATCATCTCCTGCTATAGCAAGGAGGTACCTGATGGAGAAAAACCTTTCTTTTTCCAGGAAACCCTCTCCAGTATCTTCAAAATCACATTTAGCTGAGGTTACTTTTCTTGCCCTTAACTGACAAAATTGCTACTCAGGGTCCCAGGCCTTTCTAAGCCCCTTTCATCACCTGGGGTTGACAGTCTGTGTTTGCCTTTGTGTAGGAGGAGCCATCACATTGTACCTGGATAAATCCTGCTCTGAGAAGGAATGCAATGAATCAGAACAAGTGATACCAGCCTTCACTGTCCATGTGTCTGATGAAGAGCACGTCCATTTTGCAAGCCAGTGCTGCAAAGGAGAAGGCTGCAATAGTAAAGATATCTCTGGTATGTGACAGCAGTGCCACAATCTTTCCCTGTGTCTACCCAGTTTCTGCCTTTCCTTACTTACCTGTGCTCCTCACCTTTGGTGAATACCACACATCCTGACATTTAAGTGCATATCTGGATAATAGTGACATTTGACCTACAATAATTATTTGAGAAACAAATGGGAGAAAACAGCACTAAGACCATGCTTTCTCCCTTTTTAAGTAAAGAATAAATTTGTAAGTACTCCAAGGTGTGTAGGTGTCCTCTGGAAGGAACATTAGGTGCCCTTCAGTACTTCTCAAACTTTTAAATCTCAAGATTCCTTTACAATCTTAAAAATGATTGAGGACCTCAAAGAACTTTTGTTTATATGACCTATATTAATTGATCATTACAGTATTGGAAATTAAGTCTAAGAAATTTAAAGTATGTATTTCATTAAAAATAACAATAATAAACTCACTATATATTAATTTTAATAACATTTTAAATAAAAATAATTATGTTTTCCCAAACAAAAACAAATTAGTGAGAATGTGGCATTGCTATGTACTTTTCAGAGCTCTTTAATTTAATTCTGAATTAATAGAAGACAACTGGATTCACATATTTACTTCCACATTTAGTCAATTGCAGTATCACATGTTGCATAGTCTCTGGAAAACTCTACTGTGCACTCATGAAAGAATGAGAGTGAAAAAGGAAAATAATATCTTAGTATTCTTATGAAAATAATTTTGACTTTGTGAACCCCTAAAATGGTTTTGAGGACTCCTAGGGCTTCCTGGACCACAGTTCGATAACTGCTGCTCTGGACCAAACCCTCTTTTTGAAGAGGAGAACATGAGGCAAAAAAGACAAAGTCAATTGGCTGTGGTTACGTAGCAGGTTAATTAACAGCAATTAGTTAATTAATAGCCTGTGTTCATTCATTCAGAGCAAGATTTAGTAATAGTCACACATCTGTTGACTAATTTTGACACTGGCTATAGATTGTTTTTAGTTAGAAATCTTACCTTGCCCTTCTCAGCTTATACCTCAGCATACTGATGGACCACAGCTCTTGAAGATTGAGCAGTTTTTAAGGGTACATCCATGGGGTTATGTGCAAGTGGTGGAATGGCTGGTGTCTTCAGAAAGGATCTGAGTTCCGAAGGGTGAAATTAGAACCCACCCCATTCATTCTCAGGTTCATTCTCAGGATCTCTCTGGCCAGTTTTTTTTGCCTTTCTGCCTCTGTCCCCCTAGAGAAGTACCATGTCCTGAGTAATGACTCTTTTCTACCCAGCCTATTCACAGGCAAATGAGCCCAGAGACACAGTGTGCCCTGCTTGTTATGGACCTGATGACGCTTCTTGTAACGTGAAACAGCAGAAATGTTATCAAGAAGAACGGTGTGTAGATATAGTCGCAAACTTCAAGAATGGTATGTCTTGGAGTTCCAATTTCTTCATGGGACTTGGTTGGAAACATTTCAAGCCTTGAGTCATAAGTTCTGCATTAATAAAGAAGGGCCAGGACGGGTTATAGGACAAGGGAATAAGAATCAGAATTCCTTTGAAATTGGGAAGCTGTTAATGCGGTCATGAGCTAGTTGTTCTTTTTTCCTTCTTAATCCAGAGCAGTTCCTTCTCTTAAGCCCTTTTTCTCTGGTGTCCTGTAATCAAATCAGGCCACTACTTCTCACTTTGTTTCTCCTGGTCATATTACTCCCAGCACTCATTCTTTACTAGGTTGCCATATTCTATAGGTGTGGGTGAGTGAGCACTTATTTCCTTTTATACCTGCCTTTTTCTTCCCTACCTGTCACTGGAGGGTGCATATGTATGGCAACTAGGGTCACTTGACAGAAAGAATCAAAGTGGGCTTTAATAGCCAACCAATGACACTTTTCTAGAAAAGTAATTTGACATTAGCATAAAATACAAATCCCAGTTACTATCACATTGATGGCAACTTATGGCAACTCCACATGTGTCAGAGTAGAACTGGGATCTGTAGGATTTCAGTGGCTAATTTTTCAGAAGGATCATCATCAGTTAATTGCTGTTAACAAGCAAACTCCAAATCCATTTATTTCTTGCTTGTATAGTAGTTCAGTGCAGAGTCAAGGAGTCTGAACTCCTTCCACCTTGTGATTCTAGCTCCACTTGCCCAGGATTTTGCAGCTCTGTGCTTTAGCTCTTAATGTCTCACCAGAAGGTGGGGAAGGGATGAAATGGGGGAGGGCAGGAAAGGTTTTAAGGGCCAGGTCTGGAATTGAAAGACTCATTTCCTCTGAGTATCCGTTGTCTGGGACCTAATCATATGGCCATTCAGACTACAAGAGAGACTGGAAATGTGGCTGGTGGTGGCCCAGGAGGAAAAGAAGAGACGTTAAGTTGAAATGAATAACCAGCGAGTTTCTGCTGCAAATAGCACCAACATCCAGGTTCAATTAGATTTTTTTTTTTGTTATTTGTCAATTATAGTATTGGAAATCAATGCTTAATTATAACCTCAGATTTCTCTGTGGATTCCCAAGCACCATGATTATCCTGAACCACTTTTTTTTTTATTTCTAAAATCTTTGAGAGGTCCACAGTGCTCTGATTTTTAATTAGAAAGTTTTGTCTTACCATAATGGCATTGCCTTTGGGAGCTCTGGTAGCATAGTGCCTAAGGCTGCTAACCAGAAGCCTGGAGGTTAAGACCCACCAGCCTCTCCTCAGAAGGAAGGTTGGAGAATCTACTTCCGTAGTGATACCACCTCAGAAACCCAAGGAGGGGTCACTATGAGGTGGATCTGACTCGACGGCAGTGAGTTTGGTTTGTTATAGTGGCATTAGAAGTATATTCTCTCTGCTCATCCTTTTCCCAAGTGTCTTCTGCTTCAATAGATGGACTTCACCTTCTCCTTTGCTCACCAAGACTATTCACTTTGAATTAAACTGAAAACTAGGCAGATCAAAGACATCTTGAGTGCAGTTTTTGGTTTGTGTGATTTTGCCCAACTGTAGAGATGTGCCAAGCAACATATCTTCTTAACTAATTCTATCTTCATCTTCAATATTTGCTGTAAAATTGCACAGAGATGCTTTTTCACTGGAATTGGAGGTTTCTCCCTGCTTCTCAGAGCAAGTTTAGAATCAAGCAGCCTTGATCTCAAATCATAACCCTGTTACTTCACCTCTGTGAGTCAGCTCCTTTCCCATTCCTGCCCATCTCTAACACTGTTTGAGTTTTAGAAGGCATAGGGTCACTGTTCCATAAAAGACCACTGTTAATATAACCACAGTGGACAGTGAAGGTTCTGTTGCTAGATCCTTATCTTTCATGTGTGAGACTTTCGTTCAGCCCACGCACCTCATGCATAGCCACCACCTATCTATCAGTGGAGGCTTGCATATTACTACGATAATGAATAGATTTCAATGGAATTTCCAGACTAAGATGGACTAAGAAGAATGGCTTAGCAATTTACATATGAAAATCAGCCAATGAAAATTTTATGGATCCCAATATGGGGGTGATGCAGGACCAGGTTGTGCATGGGGTTGCCATGTCTTGGGGGCCAACTCTGTGGCAGCTAGTGACAATAGCATAACCACATCTACTTGACATCTATGTTAACACACGGTTAAGCACAACAACTGGGTTTTACAGTAGACAACTGTGGTTTCTCTGCATCCTCTCTGGCTGTTTTCCCTCTTCTCAGGGCTGTGAACTCAGGCTCAGAGAGGAAAGAGAACCCAAAGCAGAGCCTGTGAGGATGGGAACCTGAGGGATAGGATCCAGCCTGAAGACCTTCTCTCCACACACACCTGGATTGAAGGCAGAGACCTACTGGCTGAACTTGTCCCTGGCTTTCACCACCCCCAGATGAGCAGGAACACAGAATATCTGAATTCTTAGGCCCAACACCCATCCTCACTTGGGAGCTTGGGTTGCTGACCCACCTCCTGGAGCCCCAGTTTCATCTGGGGCTAAATAGGGACTGGGATCTTGGCCACTGTGCTCTGTGGTCCCTCTGGTTATCATCACCTTTGGGTGCTCCTGGTTTCCTTCCTCCTGCTCTTGTTTCAAGAGAGGTTTTCTCTTGCAGGTCTCAGAGTGGTAGACTTCAGGCAGGGAAAGAAATACTATTCAGAGGACGCGGCAAGTGAAAGTGGGGGAGGGAGTTGACTGCCAGGAGTCCTCATTCACTGTCTCTTTTGCATTCACAGGAACTGGCTTTCAAACACTTGTGCTGAGAGGATGTTCAAATGTCAATGACTCTACCTGCCGGTTCCTATCTGCTTCAAACCAGACAATTGGAGGAATCACCTTTCAAAAGTTTGATTGTACAGACAGTTCCCCCACCTCCTCAACTCCCACCTCTTCCCTGTCTACCTCCCATGCCTCTTCATCCTCCACCCCACCCCGGTCTACAATGACCAGCTCTCCACAGACCACCAATACAGGCTCCAAAGTGTCTTTCATCCCCTTTCCCCTTGCAAGCTTCATTCTGCTAGGGATGCTGCTCTGAGGCCCCTGGATCTAGCCTCAACCTGCTGTGCCTCTTGTGCCACCTATGCCTTCAGTTCCTGGCTCTCTCAAACATGGTTGCCCACATTGTTCTTTCTTATTAAAGCAGTGGTTCAATCACTGGTCAAATCTTTTAAAAATATTCTGGCTGGGCATCCCTCCAGGCCTACCTTCTAGGTCTGTGGCTGAGGGTGGAGTCAACACCTCTGAAATTTGCCCTAATCCCTGAGCTCCAAAAACCCCATGACCCCTGTTCATCTTGTTCCGAGAAGCCCATACTTTGGTCTTCCTAGTACCGTCTGCATCCTGTCTTCCACCTTGGGACTGATAGGCCACTCTCCCTACCCTAACACACTTGGAGTGTCCTTTTCCTTCAGTTTTCATGCCCCAATCAAAACTCAAGAGTTTCCCTTCTGAAGCCAGTGGTGACAGATGCTCCTGTGATCCCTCTTGGCTTATACCCTGGCATTCCAACTATTGTCATGGCTGTGATAAGAGGCCCTCAGTGAGTGAGAACAGGAACATGGATGTTCCATTGCAACCCAATCATCCCAGAGTCCAGTCAGCATGTAAGCGCCAGGAGGTATGTAGAGAGGTAGCTGAGGGCTGACAGGCTTCCACTGTCTAAACTCTGCAGGCAAGGACACAATGCAGACATAGGACAACCAGCCCCTAGTGTATGTTCTGGCCAGTGGAGTTTCCAGTAGCACTTAAGGCAAAGTAGCTACCCCCTGCCACCCCTCCCCCCCAATTTATCATCAAATGCAGAATCATTGACTCAATATCAAATACCTAAGAATAAAGAAAACCATCTAATAAGCACAGAGGCCAAAGTTTACTGAGTAAATTGGGTTTTGAGCTGGACTTTGAAGGTGGGGTTTTCTGTAATAAACAATATTAAAAGTGTACACAAATGTAGTTCTCTCTTTTTCCAGGATTGCTGACAATGTGTCAAGAGCAATGCTGCCAAAGAGGCCATTCAACACCATTCAGCAAATGTAGTTTATACCACATTTATATTCCTTTTTTAGCTTTTTTATTTTGAAATAATTTTACTTCTTGGGAAGTTGCAAAAATAGTACAGAGTTCCTGAATACCCCTTGCTCAGTTTCTTCTAATGTTCACATATGATACAACCACAGTCCAGTGATTGCCATTTTATTTACATTGAAACAGTATTACTACCTAACCCTGTTTGCATTTCACTAATTTTCACTAGTGTCCTTTTACTGGCCAGGTTCCATTTTTTTCCATTTAACTGTCATATCTCCTTGTTGTTGTTGTTGTTATGTGCCGTCGAGCCAGCCCTGACTCATAGCGACCCCTCCTTGGGTTTCCGAGGCAGTATCACTACGGAAATAGGATTGCCCAACCTTCCTTCCGAGGAGTGGCTGGTGGGTTTGAACCGCCAGCCGTCTGGTTAACAGGCAAGTGTCTTAGACACTATGCTACCAGAGCTCCTGTCATATCTCCTTAATCCCCCCCAATTTGTAACAGTTCTTTTTTTTTTGAGACCTTGATAATTTAGAGAAATGTTGACCAGTTATTTTGCAGAATGTCCCTTAATTTGAGTTTATCTGAAGTTTTATCGTGATGAGTTTGAGTTAAATCTCCACAGAAGGGATGTGCTCTCTTAATGCATGTCATCAGGAGGAACATGATATTGATATTACTGGGGATGCTAACTTTGATCACTTGGTGTCTTGGTTTTCTAGCACTACTATAACCAAAGCACAAAAAGTAGATGACTTTAACAAATAGGAATTTATTCTTTTACAGTTCAGGAGGATAGAAGTCCAAGTTCAAAGTGCTGGCTCTAGGGGCTGGGTGAAGGCCCCTTGACCCTGGGTTTCAGCTCTGCCTCCTGTTCCAGGGCCACTGGAACCTGGAGTCTGGAGGCTTTTTCTAACTCATGCAGCTGCTGGCTGCTGATGCTGATGAATCCAAGATTATCAAGTAAAATAGCACAACCCAAGATCATCAGGCAACACAGCAGACCACTGGTTCAAATCTAGGAACAATCCCAGGATTGGCAGGCAACACAGCAGGCCAAGATTCAGCCAAATTCAGGGTTCAGATGTGTCAAAAGCTAGAGACCTTCCTCAAAGCTTTCCCATATACAATGGAAGCAGGCCATACTCTGAAAGCAACTAATTAGCTGCTTATAGCAGATTCCACCATGGAGTTGATTCCACCACATTCAATCTCATCATGGAGACTAACTGCATCAAGCTGCCCAGACACTCAAAACCATGGTCCAGTCAAGATGATGCACACTTGACTATGGGGATATCTGCCAGATTACTACTTTTCTTTTTGCAGTTAATAATAGGCTAAATGATACTGCTGTAACAAGCAACTCAAAATCTTTGGGGCTTAACACAATGAAAATTAATTTCTCACTTACACAAAGTGTGGTTGTTCCAGGTTCAGCAGCTGTCCTGGGCAATTCTCCTGCAACAGTGATGAAGAGGACAGGCTTCTCCTATCCTATGATTCCACCATCCTGTGGGATTCCTTGGAGTCTCCTGTGGAGTCCTGTCTTAGTTTCTTAGTGCTGCTGTACCAGAAAAGCCACAAGGGTGTGCCTTCAATGAGCAGGCTTTTTTTTTTTTTTTAAGAGTTTAGGAGGCTAGAAGCTTGAATTCAAGGGGTACTGAGGTAGGCTTTCTCTGGCAGCTCTCAGGCAAGGTCCTTGTCCTAATGTTCTTTGGCAATCTCCTCCATTTGTGCTTGCTTCTCATTCTTAATCTGTTCTTTGTATATCTCAAAAGTGATTCAGTTTAAAATAAATCCTATGATATGGCCACATTAACAAAGAAAATACTATTCCTAGATTGGATCACATCCACAGGTACAGGGACTAAGATTCCAACACACAGTTTTTGGGAGTATAATTTATTCCCACAACTCATCTGTCAGTTTGTCATACTGTGAGGCTGGAGGCTATGCCATTAATATTTCAAATACCAGAAGGGTCATCTATGGTGGACAGGTTTCAGTGCATCTTTCAGACTAAGACAGACTTGGAAGAAGACTGGGGCCATCCACTTGTGAAAAAAATTGGCAGTTGAAAACCTTATGAAAAAGCAATAAAAAATTGTCTAATATATTACTGAAAAACTTTATGAAGCATCAGTGAAACTGTCTGATAATAGTGCTGGAAGATGAGGCACTCAGGTTGGAAGACACTCCAAATACATCTGGGGAAGAGCTGTCTCCTCAAAGCAGAGTTGACCTTAATGACCTGGGTAGAGTAAAGCTTTTGGGACCTTCATTTGGTGATGGGGCATGACTCAAAATGGGAGGAAACATCTGCAAATATTCATTAATAATTGGAATATGAATTGTATGAAGTATAAATCCAGAAAAATTAGAAATTGTCAAAAGTGAAATGGAATGCATTAAGATCAATATTTTAGGCATTAGTGGGCTGAAATGTACTGGTTTTGGACATTTTGAATTACACAATCATATGGACTAAGTAGGAATGACAAATTGAAGAGGAATGGAGTCTCAGTCATCACTAAAAAGAAGATTTAAAGATCTATCCTGAAATATAATGCTGTCAGTGATAAGATAATATCCATATGGCTACAAGGATTACCAGTTAATACAATTATTATTCAAATTTACACACCAACCACTAAAGCCAAAGATGAAGAAACTGAAGATTTTTACCAGCTTCTGTAGTATGAAAGTGACCAAACCCGAGGACAAAATGTATGGATAATTACTGGTGATTGGAATGCAAAAGTTGGAAACAAAGAATAAGCATTGGTAGTTGGAAAATATTACTTTGGTTGTAGAAATTATGCCAGAGATCACACGATAGAATTTTTTAAAACCAATTACCTTTTTTTTTTTTCAACAACATAAATGGCAACTATACACATGGACCTCACCAATGGGATAAACAAGAATCAAATCAACTACTTCTGTGGAAAGAGTTGATGGAGAATATCAGTATCTTCAAAACAAGGCAGGAGCTGACTGTGAAATGGACCATCAATTGCTCGTATGAAAGATCAAGTTGAAGCTGAAGAAAATTAAAACAAGCCCATGAGAGGCAAAATATGACCCTGATTATATCCCACCTGAATTTAGAAACCATCTGAAGAATAGATTTGATTCACTGAACACCAGTAACCAAAGACCAATGACCAAAGACCAAAGATCAGTGACATCAAGAATATCATATATGAAGAAAGCAAACAGTCATTAAAAAGATGGGTATAGAAGAAATGAGCAAATAAAAGAGCTGAACAGAATTCAAAGGGTAGCCTGAGAAGTCAAAGTAAAGTATTACATTGAAATGTGCTGTTGTTGCTGTTGTTAGGTGCCATCAAGTTCTCGCCAACTCATAGCAACCACACAGCAGAACGAAACACTGCCCAGTCCTGTGCCAGCCACATGAGCCCTGCTATACCTGAGTCCATCATTGTAACCATTGTGTCAATCTGTCTTGTTGAGGGCCTTCCCCTTTTTTGTTGACCCACCACTTTGTCTGTGTCTGTGGTTATAACCACATTTGGAAATAATCTATCTTTATTTATATTCATAACACAGAGTTAGTGTAGGGTATATATTAAGTCAATCTCTTTTGAGATATGTTGTTGTTATGTGCCATCAATTCAGTTCTGAGTCATTGTAATCATAAAAGGGTTTAAACAAGCAAATGAGCAAGCTAAGATGGGAAAATTGATGTCAAGTCACATGGAGACCTCCAAGGAACCAGGAAACTAGCTGAAGAGATAAAGACCTTTCCCAAGATCTGACACAGAGAGAAAGCCTTCTCCTAAAGCTGGATTCCTGAATGAGGACTTCTAGCTTCCCAAATTCTGAGAAAACCAAATTTCTGTTTGTTAAAGTCACTGACTTGTAGTATTTCTGTCAAAGCAGCACTAGATAACTAAAACAATATGTATATATACAATATGTCATTAAATTTCTGGACTGCTGGTTCCATTGGTGTTGATTGTGGAATCAAGTAACATGAAA